ATGGTAAAAAAGAAGAACGGGGGTTTCCCCTCGCTACCTGCCAAATGCTGGGCCTCCAACTCTGACCTCCGAAGCGAGCCTCCGGCCTCGGACCCCAAGGTGCGGAAATGAAAGGCCCGTGAGCCTCTTCTGGCCCAGCCTTGCCTTCATTTTTTTTTTTTTTTTTTAGCGTTACTTGTAAAGCGGAAAAAAACACCAGTTTTTTTTCTCGGTTTGCTTTTACCAAAAATTCAGAGCAAAATAAATAAACTCCAGCCCGCAAGTTCTGGGGAATTTCTTTTCAACGTTAAAATGAAAAATAGATTTTTTGACTATGCAAAGGGGATTTTTTTTTTTTTTTTTTTTTTTGTAAATACTACATTATGTTTAAAAAAAACAAAGTTCCCCTGGGCCGCGCGAAGGCTCACGCCTGTCCGTGCCCGGCACTCTTGGGAGGCCCGAGGGCCAAGAGGAATCGCTCGAGGGTCCCCAAAAGGAGTTGGGAGACCAGCCCCTGAAAAGGCAAAGAAGCCGAAAACCGTCTTTACCTTCAAATAGAAAAAGAAATTAATTTTTGGCCACCCTACAATTTAGAAAAAAACGAGCCGGGCGTGGCGGTGGGCGGCAACTGCCTGTCATCCCAGCTACGTCGGGAAGGGAAGCTGAGGCCGGAAAAGGCCTCGCTTCGAGTTCAAGGAAAAAAGTTTTTTGGCAGGGCCCAGCCTGAAGCAAGAGCGAAGACGTGTCTACTGAAAATAGAAAGAAAAACGAGCCCCTTTGGAACACAACTAAAAAAAATATATGAAAAAATAAAATGAGCCCGGGGCGTGGGCAAGGCCCCATGCGGTTGGTCCCCAGCTATCGGAAAAGGAGGGAAGGCTTTTGGAGGCAGGAGGCTCGCTCGAGGCCAGGGAGGTTGGAAAGGCTGCCCCTGTTGGAGCGAGGCCGACGCCACGCGCTTCAACGTTTCAGCCCCGGGGGCGACAGGAGCCGGAGACCTTCTGCCTCAAAAAAATAATAATATATAATAAACACACTTTTGCGCTCAGACCCCCGGGCCCTCGCTAAATTCTTGCTTATGCTTCTTTTTATTTTTTTTTTTGTTTTTTTTTGTGCGTGGAGGAAAAAACAAAGGCCAGCCCGTTTTTTTTTGAATGGTTGGGCCGCAAGGCCGAGGGGAAAATTTTCCTAGATTTGTCCCGCGAAATGGGAGGGGACCAAAAGAAAGCCGCAGGGGGCCCCTGGCCCTCCCTCTCCTTCTTCTCGTCTCCCTCTCTCTGCATTTTTTGAATTCCAAAAGCAGGCGTGTAAAAGGCCGGCAAGGAAGGGTGGAGGCCGGCCGGCCTCCCAGGCAAGCCGAAGAACAAGGGCTGGTTTGGCGGCCGGCGGGGCAGGTCCCATAAACCGCCCTCCTGGTTCCTGAGCGATGGAAGGGGGGCCGGCTGTTCAGCGAACCACAGAAAAGGAAACCCCCTTGTCCCGCCTGGGGTGTCAACCCGGGCCGGCCCATCGCCCGCTTCCCGCCTTCCTTCCCGCTCTCACCCTGGCTAACGGAACGGCACACCAACCACAAGGCCTGTTGCAAAAACCAGGACGGGACGTCGCTCTCCGGCCCCCCCAGGAAATGTCTTGTCAACTTGTTCCCCCCTTTTGTCAACCTGGTCCCAGGACCCGTTGGGCAGGCGCGGTCTGTTTCTTCCGCGGGCCCGTGAGAAGCTCTGGAATCCTTGCTCTTTTTATTTTTTTTTTTGTCTGTTTAATTTTTTTTTGTTTTTTTTTGTTCCTTTTTTTTCAGTTTGTTTTCTTTTTTCTTCTTGGGGTCTTTTTTTTTTCTTTTTTTTTTATAAGACAGAAACTTCCCGTTTCATCCCTAGCCGGCTCTGCAGCTTTGGCGGATTGCCGACCCCACGGCCCGGTGCACTTGGTCCTTTTTTCCTGGAGCTGACACTGCACGAACGGTTTACTTGTTTGCGTTTTTTTAAAGTGCATATAACCGGGCTCGTCCATTCTGTTGTTTTTAAATTTAAAGAGTGGAAAATTCACACCTCCTTCTTTTTTAATTTTTTTTTTTTTTTTTTTTTTTTAACGTGGCCCAGCGGAGCCCTCGGCGGCGCGTTTCCGAGGCCCCGGGACCGACGCGTGCGTGTCTGTCTTCTCGCCCGGCAGACGGCCCTGGCCCTGGCCATCGCACAGGAGCTGGGCACCAAGGTCCCCTTCTGCCCCATGGTGGGCAGCGAGGTCTACTCCGCCGAGATCAAGAAGACCGAGGTGCTGATGGAGAACTTCCGCAGGGCCATCGGTGAGTGGGGCCCCGTGCCGCCTGCTGGGGTGGGGGCTCGGCCTCCCTGCCTCCTCGCTCACGGCAGCCTCCCGACTCCTGGCCTCCAGCGAGCCTCCCGCCTCGGCCTCCCTCCCTCTGTCGCCGCGGCCTCAGCCTCCCGACTCCTGGCCTCCAGCGAGCCTCCCGCCTCGGCCTCCCTCCCTCTGTCGCCGCGGCCTCAGCCTGGCTCACGGCAGCCTCCCGACTCCTGGCCTCCAGCGAGCCTCCCGCCTCGGCCTCCCTCCCTCTGTCGCCGTGGCCTCAGCCTCGCTCACGGCAGCCTCCCGACTCCTGGCCTCCAGCGAGCCTCCCGCCTCGGCCTCCCTCCCTCTGTCGCCGTGGCCTCAGCCTGGCTCACGGCGGCCTCCCGACTCCTGGCCTCCAGCGAGCCTCCCGCCTCGGCCTCCCTCCCTCTGTCGCCGTGGCCTCAGCCTCGCTCACGGCGGCCTCCCGACTCCTGGCCTCCAGCGAGCCTCCCGCCTTGGCCTCCCTCCCTCTGTCGCCATGGCCTCAGCCTCCCAACTCCTGGCCTCGAGCGAGCCTCCTGCCTCAGCCTCCCTCCCTCCCGAGTAGCTGGGACCACCGGCATGCGCCTCCACGCCCGGCTCATTTTATTTTTCTATATATTTTTAGTCGTCCAGCTCATTTCTTTCTATTTTTTAGTAGACACAGGTCTCGCTCTTGCTCAGGCTGGCCTCCAACTCCTGACCTCGAGCGAGCCTCCCGCCTCGGCCTCCCAGAGTGCTGGGATGACAGGCGTGAGCCTCTGCACCCTGCTCATTTTTTTTTTTTTAATTAGCATTATCTTTGTAAGCGAAACAAAACAACCCAGTTTTTCTCATTGCTTTACCAATCAGAGCAAATATAAACTCCAGCGCAGGGTCTGGATTCTTCATGTATGAAAATAGATTTGACTATGAAGGGATTTTTTTTTTTTTTGTATACTCATTATTTAAAAAAAAACAAGTCCTGGGCCGGGCGCGAAGGCTCACGCCTGTCATCCCAGCACTCTGGGAGGCCGAGGCTGGAGGATTGCTCGAGGTCAGGAGTTGGAGGCCAGCCTGAGCAAGAGCGAGACCCGGTCTCTACTAAAAATAGAAAGAAATTAATTGGCCAACTAAAAATATATAGAAAAAACGAGCCGGGCATGGTGGCGCGTGCCTGTCGTCCCAGCTACTCGGGGAGGGAGGCCGAGGCGGGAGGCTCGCTCGAGGTCAGGAGTTGGAGGCC